TGAGGGAATTTTGTTTTTTTTTTTTTTTTTTTTTTTTTTAATGAACTAACTGCCATAAAACACTTTCAAGGATTTAATGCCATGACCTAACAAATTTTGGCAACACCAAAATATTGATAAGAACCTGTGCATCCTGACTCCCAAAAGTTGTGAAGTACCAATAATTTTTTTTGTTTGCAATATGCATCAGATGGTTTATGAACATAGGCGTCTAATTCAACTAAGACAAAGCAATAAAGACAGAAAAAGGGCTAAATATTATTGTTTCAGTGTTACTTTAGTATTACTTATTTCCTATTATAGTATTTATGAATATTTTGACTTAGCTTTTATTTTTATATTTTCATTTTTCATTTTTTTATTTTAGTAATTTTATGTGCTTTGTCAGTTTAAATCTGCATTTAGCTTTATTTAATTTTTATTTCAGTTTTTGTATTAGTCATTTTAGTACTTTTATTTAAGTTTTCGTTTTAGTAATTTTAGTACATTTCATCTAATGTTTATATTTTATTTCATTTCAGCTTTCACCGGTTCACCGGTTCTAACTCTATAGTGACACCAACTCTATAGTGGTTTGCCCGAGTATTGCAATTATTTAGCATTTATTAGAATTCAATCAAATGGCTTTCTCAACTTTTCCCCCAAAATTTTTTTGCACGTGTCCTGTGCGCGGCATATTATTCTTTTGCGCGGTCGCAATGTAAGAAGTGCACGGCCACGCCTGCGCGCAGCTTAAAGGGAACATTGCCTGGGATGTAGAATATTGATGCTTTATTCTATTTCTATTTCAGTTTGCCTACTACGTTTGCCACCTTAGACATTGACGGTACCAGAAAGCTGATCTTCGCCCTTCCAGGTATAATACGCTGTGTATGTGACATACTAAGTGTTTATGTAAACAAATGGAGAAGTTTTGACAGGAAAAGTGTCTCTGAGTTGGAACTGTTTAGAATTCACACAAATGAAAACACATACATACACAAACCCAGGTGACTTGAGTTTCCTCTTTCTCCCACATACTCTATGTATTGTACTACTTACAGTAGAACAACTTCTCTTATTCTAACTATTTACATAAACTCAGTTTTTCTTTTTTAATATATCTGCAAAAATGTCAACAATTCTGTGTTTTTCTGTCAATATGGGGTGCTGTGTGTACATTAATGAGGAAAAAAAATTAACTTAAATGATTTTAGCAAATGGCTGCAATATAACAAAGAGTGAAAAATTTAAGGGGGTCTGAATACTTTCCGTACCCACTGTATATAGTACCATCTCCAAACTAAATGGTCCCTTCTCCATAAAATTTAATCAGCCCACGGTTGCCCACCTGTGTACCTTTCTGCAAACCTGCATCTCCCTGCTTGCCCACCGGTCCGATCAGCTTTCCCAGGCTTGCCCCCACCCCAAGCCAACTGTACTCCCACCTTGTGCCTTCAGAAACCAGGTGGTCGAGGCAGTGGTGACAGTGGCGATTTCTATATTCCCCTTCAAAGGTAATTTCACCTACAGAGACACAGGGGCGACTCTTCTGGAGGCTGTGCCCCTGAGTGACAGCGAGGCCAGCAGACTGCCTGTGCCTCCTCCCCCACAAGGAAGTAGGTGCTCTTAATTCAGGAAATAAGCCCTGTCTTCAGCCCAAGCTCAGAAAACGGAAATGGACTTGAAATTTTGACACAAAACCCTAATTACCAAAACACGAAATCTCTTTTTAGTGCACTTGGGCTCATTTGGGACCAGTATGTTATAATTATTACAGCCATTACAAGATGAAAACCTGAAAAGGCCTTTTCTAATCTGCAGTAACAACCTCCAAAACACAATGAAAGGAAACATAGGAATAATATTTTTGTTCTGATTTTCCAATGTGACACTTTCTGTTCTGTTTTCTGAGAGAAGCCTTGTGTTTGTGCTTTTTATTTATTTTTATTTTTTTGCGTCCGTGGCACTCCTTGTAGCTATTAGTTCTGTTGCAACCTTCCCAAAGCCCTTTCCGTTTTGTGTACTGTGATGTGGCTTAGTGTTTTGAAACTGCTATTTGTCTGATGTAGTTCTGTCCTCCTTTTGCTTTCAATGCCCTTCTTCCCTTCATGTTGATGTGGTGGAGGGCACCTCTGCACTTGATACACTCTTCTTCCTTAACTGGTTTCAGTAGTTGGTACACATTTGTCTTATCAGAGAGTATTGGCTTGATTTCACACTTTATTTGATTGCTTTGGTATGAACCAGAGTTCAATTCCATTCCTAGTATTATTAGGCTTCGAAATGTACATTTACACAAATGTATATTTGCATCATCAGTGTCAGTGCAGCTTTCACACCAACCAGACAAACTGAACTCTGACATCAAAAATACTACTTAAAGGGGCAGTTGACTTAATTTTGTCATCATTTAATCACCATCATGTTGTTACAAACCTTGTATGACTTTCCTTTTTCCATAGAACACAAAAGAAGAAGCTGAGCAAAATGTTAATGCTGCTATTTTTAATTTAATGATATAGGTATACAGAAAGAAAGAAATGAATAGGACGAATTAAATTGGCCGTAAAGACATTTTTTAGGTTACAAAAGATCTATTTTTAATAAATGTGGCTCTTTTGAACTTTCTATTCATCAAAGAAACCTTAAAAGAAATGTATAACGATTTCCACAAAAAGTATTATGAAGCACAACTATTTTCAAAATTATAATAAGAAATGTTACTTGAGCAGCAAATCAGCATTTTAGAATGATTTCTGAAGGATCATGTGACACTGAAAACTGGAGTAATGGCTGCTGAAAATGCAGCTTTTCAGTTCCATTAATAAATTACATTTTAAAATGAATGAAGATAAACCGGTTATTTTAAATTGCAGTCATTTTTTTAATATAATATTACGGTTTTTACTGTTCTTACAGAGGCTAAACTTTTGAACAGTAGTGTACAAGAATGAGGCTGAGGTCTATGGAAGATTTTCAGTGAATAATAATTTAAATAAATGTCATTTTCCCTCACAAAGCTATTGCTTGATTTTAGACAACTTTTTGTGTTACTTTTATGGTGTTCAGTTGTTTCTGGAGCTTGATGGCCACTGATCACTGTATACTTGAATTGTATGCAGAAACATTCTGGTAAACATCTCCTTTTGTGTTCTCTGAAACACAAGTTCAGAAAGGTTTGCAACAAAACGAGGGTGAATAAATGGTGACAGAATTTGCATTTTGGAGGTGAACTGTTGCTTTAAAGACATCAGTGGTGCTTTATCAGGAAACAAACCTAATTCCTATCCACTACAGATGATCCACAGTTCAGAGAGATTCTGCCCCAGACCTCCACCCCTGACCCGAAATCATAAGACAAAGCCTTCACCTCAACAGTCATCTCTTCTTTCTCTCTCAGGTAACCCAGTGTCAGCTGTTGTAACCTGTAACCTCTTTGTCATCCCTGCATTAAGAAAGATGCAAGGGATCCTGGACCCACGACCCACTATCATCAAAGCCAGGGTGAGCATGGCCACTAAATCTCATGTTCTTGCATTGGTGGATACTTCAATACTGTACTTAAGTCAATTTAAGTATCCTTACTTTATCTAATATTTTATTTTGGGAAACCTTTCCAAAGAATTACATTTCATAAAGACGTATTGTTCCTTGTTAATATGAACTGTAGAAATCATTATACTCTCTGAGACGTGATAGCAATGCCCGATTCGTGAACGAGCTGATTCATTTCAATGAACCTGTTGAATCAGTCCACATATCGCACTGGACAATTCATTCACGAATTGGACTGATCCGATTCCGATCCCAGCTGTTCTTGAGTCAATTCGATTCAGTGATCCAGTCAGAGTGAGTCAGGACTCTCTGGTAGAAGAGATAGCGTATCTCAATGGGACCTTCCTGGTTAAAATAAGCCAAGAAACAGGAGATCCTTTGAGCTTCAGTGTGTGCGCAACTGAGCTTGAAATTTAAGTTACTAATGCCAAATTTTAGGATTCATTATTGTTAAAAAGTCATATTTGATAAAATCATGTTTTGGCCACGATCATCAGTTGTTTGTGAACTACATCTGCTGTAAAATGGTGAGCTGTTTAAACCTGCTGTATGAAATGGTTGTATAAAATGTGAATACAATATGTCATATATCACCATCTGAACAGTGTAGGTTTTAGGTAAAAACTAAACATGTGCAACTTAAGATAATGCAATAACATTGAAATATCGCAAATAAATCTTCCTTGCTGCCGTAGCAGTTTCAAATTATATTTAAACTAGTATGTTTGCATAGCATTTTTTTCTCTCTCAAAATAGCGTTTTTCTCTATTTGTCAATAGACATTTACACACATTTTGTTTTTTCCTATTTTTGAATATACTATAGGGTGTATTTTATTTCTGCTTGTTTGCACTTTTGAATTCAGTATCCCAAATTGATGCATTGATATATTTCATGTTTGATGCTGTATGACAAGTTTTGGTTATGAAACTTACCAAAACTTTTTCTTACTTACAGATCAGTACATATTAAGTGTCTGCATATAGGATGTAGGATGGAGTGCATAACATAGCAGAATAAACATTTATCGATCAGTACTTTTTACTTTTAATACTTAAGTACATTTAAAAACAAATACTTTTGTACTTGTACTCAAGTTAAATTAAAAAGGAGTATACTTTTATTGGAGTAATGTTTTATTAATGTATCTGTACTTTTATCCCAGTACTTGAACTTCGTCCACTGGGTTCTTGTGACTTGCATTGTGTTTCTGTACTGCTGCGATAACATCAGTATGTGTCCTTTGTTCAGTGTATATATATATATATATATATATATATATATATATAGGTTGACAATAACTTATTTGTTTGCAAAAAAGCAAGTAACACCCTTTTTCCTGCTCTGCTTCACAGGAAACCAAATGAGTAGTCGGCTAATGAGCATGCGCAGTGCCAACGGCCTTCTGATGTTGCCTCCGAAAACAGAGCAATACGTGGAGTTGCACAAGGGTGAAGTCGTGGACGTCATGGTCATAGGACGGCTATGATGTCATCTTATGGGGACAGACCAAGTACAGAGCAAGAAAGTGGTGCATGTCCACATATCATTACTGCTCTGTAATATGCAACGGCACAGCTAGTTTTTATTGATTTGGGAGAAGTTGATCCAGTATAATCAACATTTCGAACAAAGACGAATATGTGAAATTTATGAAAATACGACTTAGAAGACATCATAATATTGCAAAGACAGAAAATATTATACCTTTTAAAGTGAGAATATATATATGAAATATAAGAGATTTATTCTGTAATATATTGTTATAATTATTATGATTATTAATATAATAATGAATATTATCATATTAAGCAACTCTGTTCTCTTTCATTGCAATTGCTTTGTGTGTTCAATGCTAGAACTTCTAGATAGCCATAGCATTTTAATAGACAGCTGTTGGCGCCTGTCACACATACATCAGAAAGCTTATTTTCTCATCGGTAGAAAATGTGTCACTGAGGAATGAAAAGTTCTTCAAAATGACAGCAGGAGCTGGATCTTTTCATCTCTCCTCAAAGTGCACCAAGGTTGACCCAGCTATCTTTCCCTTTAGTATTATATGCTCCATAAAGACTTCATTATGCTTCATAAAGGGTTTACAAAACCACTTTGCTTGTCGTTTATCTTGTGAGTCGTGTTTATGTGCGCAGTGCCAAAAGCCAGGGCTGTGGGGGAAGTTCTCGTGGTCGTGACGGCGAAAAGCAGCGTGTGCCGCCGGGTAGCACAGACTTTGTGCGGAAACAATGACCGGTGGGGGTCTGTGTAAATTCTGTGCTACTTCAGCGCGCCCAGAGGCATGTCCTGTGCTACAGGCTACCTCAGTCTGGAACATACTTCATAGTAAACTGACCCTCATAGCTCTGCCCTTATTACTCTCTTTTTTACCCACTACCCTTACATTTAAACTCGCCCGGCCCATTCCTAGAGGCTTAGCTCCCTGGAAACTTTTATTTGTTTAACTTCGATGATGAAGACACAGCTCATTTAAGTGCTGAGAGCCTTTTTAAACGAATTACATAAAATGTACAGTCAAAAAAATGCAAGAGTGATATTGTACAGACAAGTGACCAGCACTCTTGAGGAATATACTATGGAATTGAAAAGATATTGAAAACTCTGTACTATAATATCATTTTCTGTAATACTGATCTAATGCGAGAATTAAAATTCTTGATCATTATGTAAAGACGTGGTTCAGTTTCATTTTTTAAATAAACACTGAAAGATGATTGACTTGAGTTCTCTATTTCTGTTTATTTTCATGCTTATATGATCATTGTTTTATATATTTTTTATTTTTTTGGAGCTGTAATTTTATGGTGCGGACATTATTTTTTATTTTTATTTTTTTGTCCTGCACATGAACTGAATTTATATTTATTAATACAGTTTTTTTATTAGTAAGAGATACCACTTTCTTGAGCTGTTTCCTTTAAGCATTAGACATCCTTTATATATATATATATA